TGAATCTTGCGGAAGCTTCTACGAATGCGTTAACGGAAACGTGTTCTTCTTTGTGAGTTCAAGAAAGCACGTGGCGTTCATTTCCATCCTATTTTCGCAAATTTGAATCTCTGTTCCTTCTTTCAGGAATGCCCTGATGGTCTTTGGTTCAACCCCAACTATAATAATTGTGACTTCCCTGGTGACTTTTGCACACCTCTAAATAAGCGTCCGATGAGTGAATGATGCAACCGTTGCTTGCTTATGACTCAGTGATATGTGTCAAAAACTGGCGATGGATAAATAAAAAGCTGATGAACAATACCCAAGCTTTGCTTATCCTGCGTCGCATGTTTGTACCGCATCGTGATTCCCACGACAGAAAATAAATTATTGCGTGAAGTGGTAGAATATTTAGGCATATTAATTTTTTCTGGAGTCGCCGAGGGTTTTCACGGTGATTTTCAAGGAAAGGATTTACAATCGATTTTTGCTGAAAAAGTCAGTTCTTGTGGATGGCTCACGAAAACTTAGCAGTTTTCATAATTGCAAATGTGATGCATGTGCATGAAATTTCAAGGATTTCCGTGCAAATGTTACGAAATTTTCCCAGCTTGACACCTGAGGCGTTCCAATTAAAAAGCTTCAAAAATCCCTCCAAAACTTGTTTTATGATACCACAGGATAGGTCAATAGGCCAAGGCAGCCTTTTTTTTCCAGATGCGACCTCAACGAACATACATTGTTAAATCTTCCTATGGTGTCCGCAATTCCCGACAGCTGTTAGATATCAAAACCTCCGAAACCATTAGTGGTTCGGAAGCATCCAATTTCCCATTCTTATTCTGTGCCCCTCGGGGTTAATCTTGGCAAACGCAGTGCTGTAAAAAATTTACTTTTCGTGGACGATTTGCTTACCCTTCTGACAGTCTGTCTCCTGACTTATTCGTATCCCGGAATGAATTTATGAGAGGATTTCTCTGAATACAGTCTTTACCAGGGATACATTTCTCCTCGAAAGGCGACATTCGGTGGAAAATCCCCTTCATTCTCGAACGAGAAGGTTGAAGAATGGAGGAACGAATCAGTGGCTTCGTAGTTTTCTGACGCTGTACTACGAAGTCCTGATGTGACTTTTAAGGATATCATGTAGCCTCGTTGCGTGCGCCTCTTCTGATCTTTCTTTTTGAGTGGACCCGGCTACAGCCGTCGACTAGAGGACCGCGCTGAACGTTTTTCTTTTGCGTAGCGGACTTATTTTTTCTTAAATGACGATTCTAAAGTAAGTTTCCGCGAAAATTGGATGCTTCAACTCGTGCAGATTCATAATATCTTCATAAAAAATGAAAAATACAAATAATGGTTAATTAGCTTAATTTGTCAATGTCCCTAACCTGTTATCCCTGGCAACTGCGTTGGTCGCAATTTTCTTGTTTCCTGGCCGACAGTAAGGCGCAGACCTTACTGTCGGCTAGGGGGACTCGCATCTTCACCAATTCAAGTTCACAGGAGTTCAGAGGAGGGCTGCGTGGACGGGTGAGGATCCAAAGAGGTTACGATCTGGACCTCATGATAAATTTCCTCTTATTAGAAAGGCGATAGAAAGAAGACCAGATGAATTTCTCGTTTCGAGCATTTCTGAGGGTGGATTCGATGTGCAAGGAGAAGTGATGGTCCACGATTGTGGCAGGTGGTCTCACGATGGACATGCCTCTTCTTCTGAGCGACCGTTTCTGAAGAGCGAAGATGACTGTTCGCAGTCGAAGGCGCGTCCAGAATACCATGGGTTTCACAAATTCGGGATTGCCACATGCCAAACTCAGAACCACCAGCTCTAATGGGGATGGACATCTTGGACGCATCGATTCGCATGGGCGATAACTGGTTTATTCAAGGAAGTCTACGACAGGGGAAAATTGTCATGGATATGTCATTTCGTGCCTTTTCAGCCTATCTGACCAAGAATTCCGCTACCTTAGTCTGCCGCGCACGGCCTACAATCCCATGCCTTTCTAGACCATAGGCTAGGCGGCAGGACGTCTGACACTTGTGGGTTTCCTAATGCAAGCAATGAAATCAGTTGTATTTTTTGTAAACTGAACTCGGAAGGCTGTGAAAACAACACAGATCTTCCCCATAAAGTGTTAAAATTATGTTCATGGGCTGAGATGGTTCAAAGACAGCTGAATTCCTGACATTGGACTCTTCATATAGACAGCTGAAGCGTTAAGTAGTTAGCCAATAATTTCAGCGATTTAAAAAGCTTTCCAAATTCAGAAAGAACTTTCCCTCGAACTTTATTCCCCAGCATTTGGAAGAAACATATTCTTCCAACCAAGTTCTCTTAATGTTTACGAGACTGGATTTCCATAAATAATCAGTCAACATAAGTCAAGTTTTTTCCCTTAAATCTGTGCAGTTGTCGAATGCTTACTGAAGACAAAGAAAAATATTCGGATTTTGATGGTCTGTGTTTCCGTTTTCTTCACCAATAGGAATTTTCTGAAAATGAAACTTAAACGAAAGAAAATGCCTTTCTTCCAAAGGCCATGTAAATACTCCTACTGAATTCTGACTTTTACGGCAAAAATATCAATAAATATATGTGGAAAATGTGGCACTGCAGATTCTAAGCCCAACAGAACCAAATCTTGCGACACGAAAATATTATACTCAATGCCAGAGCAGAAGTTAAACACATCCATCCCCGAAATAGTAATCCTTGTAATAGTTTCTGAAAATCTTTCACTTAAACAACACTAAATTTTAACTTAAAACACGGAGACTACACGCAAGAGAACTCAATACCTTCGGCATGAAACATAAAAAAATAGTCTCACATCGTCACTGACCTCAGGTGCAATACTTACGGCGTAGTAAATGACTCATTTCTATTTCCGCAGAACGAGAGATATCCACGAAGGCCATCAGGACGCCAAGCACCGATCGCTATTCCTGTATTTTGGAGTGGGGAATGGAGGATGCAAATTGACGTTTCGTGTCTTTCGAGTGGATACTTGTGATAAGGAGGGGGGAGTAGCGATACGTCCTGGATGCAGTCCTATTACGTCTCCTCAACCTCATGAAAAGCGTTGGTGCGTCATGAAGAAGGAAGGGGGAGTGGTTTTACTGTCGGTGCTTCTAATCGCAGGTGGGTTTCACCAAACATAAGGAGTCTTCAAATTAAGGAACGCTCGGCCTCGACACGTGATATCCAAATGAGTGTTATCGCCTCTTGATACCACTAAACTACCTAAATTGACACGCTCAAGATATTCTCACATTTACATATCTACCACCTGCCGTATACAGAGTGTCCCAGCATTCCCTGGACATTGCTCCTTCATAGCCTGTAGCCTTGAAAGGCCTCTGCTATCTTAGCATAAGACACGAAAAAGACATGTTCAGGCTGTTGTGAGATACCCTGTATTTTACGGTTTTAAATCAAAGTATCACGAGAGTAGCATTACGCAGGAGTAGCATCAGAAAAAAAAAACAAAGCTGCAGCGGCCAGCACATCGAATTGAAGCCCATCAAGTTTAAAACAGTTTAGATTAAGGGAATCATATAAAATTAACTTTCCGAAGATCTTTGAAATGCCATTCCGGCTCTGAATCTTTAAATTCCTACATTAGGTAAGCAAGCACAAACCAACTTGAAATTGATATCCACGACTACTACACCAACTTCGGATCAGAATTACTTTTAAGAGAGTCCTGATTTTAATTCGTACCAATGAATCTAACTCTGCAAAGCGGAATAGACGCTAATACACAGCAAATAATACAGATTAGATCTTGTACCTATTCAATTTGTGCAAGGCTTGTCGCTGGACAGCCACCCTAGGGGTGAGCATGATCATAATGAAACTCTGGTGAGAAAGCCTCTCCTTTTTTATTTCTGGGAGGATTTCTGAAACCCCGTGACCTTTTGGAATTAGTCTTTGTGGTCAATGATGTTCCTACATGATTTATATTTTAATGTAAGCCTTAACCCATCCGCCAACCTAAACTATGATTCTGTAACAATAACCTAAGCGCCTATGCCTTTCAAGGCCGCAGGCTGGACGGAAGGACTCGGAACGATGTGTACTAGTACGTCTTCTAACGCGGATGAGTTTGACACCCCTGTTCTAACTCAAATCGGCCGCATTACTTACTCTGCAGATGCCCGCAGGACGCACCGAAATTTATGTTAACAGTCAATTCAAGCGGAAATTTCAAGAAAATACGACGAGCCGGATGAATCACCTTCGTGGGCCGTATGTTTGACACCCCTGAGTTAGAATATTAAAGTAATGCAACAGATTATTGCATTAGCGATAGTACCCAATTTCGATCAATTGGTCTCTTCCATTCCTTTCTATTTTCCCTCTATTGTGAGAGTGATTTCCCGCAGGTGGTCTCTCCTACTTAAGGAGTTCGGCGTGGTAAGAACACTCGTAGAGCTATGCCCTTCTCTACGAACCCTAGATCCAAGCCTATTCTACCATTGGTCGTAGATTTGGGTGTGAGGCTGCATCTTTTCTTTCTCCCCTTGGGTCAATATTATTTGACATGTTCCTGGTCTGGCTTGTATCGTTCATCGTATCCTTGATTCCAATGTATACCTCTATGCTGTATCTACATAATAATGACCGAAGTCTGTCTTATATGTCCGCCAGAGGCCTGCACGGGTCGACTTTTCCTAACCCGACCCGATCGACCAATTTCAAATCGTGGCCTGCACCGAACTCTGAACTCCATCGCCGACCAAGCTTTGGGGGCCCGACCCGCGGATCGTGTCGGGACCATTGGGCCGATCTACATCCCGTGCAAAGATCCGATCATCCGATATCATCGTTCGAAATATGTATCTTATTTGAATGCTACCGGACGGAATTCGCCAAAAAGTAGTATACAGGTAATTGGGGATTCCTTAACATGCATCCCCTATTATTGATCCAAAATGTCACTGAAATTCGAACGTTGTCCCATTAGAATATATGCGACAGAATTCGCTGAAAATGGTCTTAATGGGCAATGGGAATCTTTGATGAATGGAAGAATCTCTCCTTCTGCAACAAGGACACCAGGAAGTTCCAAATACGTACGGTGTGTCTCCTTTGAATACCATGAGACGGAACTCCCTAAAAAAAAAAATTGGTGCGTAGGGAAATTTGAGAATTGGGGGAGGGGCGGGGGAGATCAAAACGTAAATGTTTCACGGGTAACAGCTGGTGAAGGAAAAATCTACGATTAGGGTGCCATCTTGCATCGTTAATGGCAACCTTCAGATGACTCCCTTTCATTTGTCGGAGCAGGCGGCAAAAGAGCAGAAGGATTAGATGTTTCTCGGAGGAAGGTTGAAAACGATGTCGATTAAGTGTGTTTTTACGCTGCCCTGCTTCTTATCAGGGAATCTCTCTGGTCAGAATATATTCTACGAAAGGGGGAATTCTCATTTCCACTGTACCTAAATGACAAGAAAGCAGATCCCAAAATTGACAAGGGGTGGGGGTGGTGCGTGTTTTGCCCCGGGGTGCCTGAAACCTTAATCTGGTCCTGGGCTTGTAGTTGAGCCGAGCTTTGATCCATCCTCTGATAAACTCCTCGAGGCTCGGTATACCACCAGGCGAGCTCAAGGTTTGCGATGCCTACCGACCCGTTTTCTGCCAGTCAGTTTAGCTTGGAAGAGTTTCTTTGAGAGTCTCTCGGAAGGCACGGAGGAAAGGTGTCCAAACCAATGGCCTGGGAACTCTCGATCTGAAGTAGTAGCTGCTCGACTCCTAGGTTCACACGGATGCCCACTCTCACTCTGCATCTTCTCACTCGTGATAACCTCATTTAGGCTGCGCGTATCCACGCTTGATTCTTTAGGTCAACTTTCAAAGTTTGTGACCATAGGTGAGAGTGGGAATGTGAATGGTATCAAAAAGCCGAAAGTTTAGCTTCCTTGGATATTTCAGATTTGGCAACGACACATCTCCAGTTTTCCCGCATTACAGCGGAAGACGCGGCCTTCGTTTTCGTTTTCGTATTCCCGTCACTCGAGAAACAGACCCCACCACAAGGTATTCAGACTTCTTCCACTGTTGGAGCGGGGCTCCCTTAACATGTACACTACTACTCGAGGGGACCACAACCTTTGTTTTTTGGGACTCTCAAACCGGTCGCAGTACACCCTGAAGCTCCTGTCGATGACGTCGTCCATCTGGCCCAAAGAGAAGGGTCTCTCCTTTGATACCATCGATGCTAACCCCCTCGAGGCCCAGGCTACGCCAACAGATCTAATCAATGTACACGTGGAATAGAAAAGGAGAGACGGCGAATCTGGCAGAGGCCAAATACGTACAGGGAACGAGTCCGAACTCATCCCGTTCACCCAAACACAGATCCAGCACTATATAAGGCACGCTGTAGCTCACCATTAACCCCATACACCTGCAGCACTCCCCAAAGCTACTCTCGACGTAAAAGTCACCAGAATCCCAAGAAATCACCATAGAAACAATGAATATGCGATGTCCATTAGAATGGACGCGGAATCTGAAAGGGTTAAACTTCCTCCACGTAATTCACTCTCCGCGTTAGATTCCATCAGGGTCCGCCATGGGCGGATTTTCGAGGGATCTCATCTAAATTGTCTTCCTACCTTCTGAATATTTCCGCTTCAGCAGCCAAGATCTTCCCTTTCCAGTCTTCTACAACCCTGAGTGTATGTTGCCTGCTTTGTCGGAGCCTTCGAATGATTTGCCAGAAGCCTTGTTTAATGTTCAACAGTAGTTTCAATTAATTTTGCATTAAACCTTTCCTACTTGCAGCTGGAAGAGTAGAGGAAAGAAAACCAGGAGGCGTTGCTAACACTGGTGGACGAGCTTTTCAATGTCCAGAAGCTGAAGGTCGATACCCTCACGAAAGCCTCTGCTACATGTTCTACGAATGCGTAGATTACATTCCCTACGACTATGAGTGTCCGGATGACGAACTCTACAGCCAAGAGGAACAATATTGCATGCCTCCGGGAGAAGTGGATTGTGGGAATCTCCTGCCAAGACCCACCACATGTCAGTTGACAAGCATTTGCTTCAATTCTTGCTCACATATCTAAAATGCAAATGTTGCTCTCCTCAAATTGTTCATTCCTCTTCACCAAGAACAGACTTACGGAGCTTAGCTCTTGCGGAGCTTAGCTCAACCATTATTAAAGGGTGTATGGAGAGGCTTCCTTTATTTTTGCAGCCGGACAAACTCAGGAAACCACGCCAGGAAGTGGCAGTTCCACCCCTGGTGGAGGAGATTTTCAATGTCCAACGTCCCACGGTCTATATCCTCATGAGACCTTCTGCTACATGTTCTACAACTGCGTAGATTACATTCCTTACCCCAGCGAGTGTCCCGAAGACAAGCTCTTCGACCAAGAAGAACTGTATTGCATGCCTCCTGAAGAGGTGGACTGTGGGAATCTCCTACCGAGACCCACCACATGTCAGTTCACATGCTTTCATATGGATTTAATCTCGTTCTCAAGATTAATTCTTGCTGGAGTGATCATTTTGACGCACGTCTGGGCGAAAAGGGCGATTATGCAATTAAAAAGGAGTGCAATAATATGTTTTTTTGAATAGTAGACTCCAAACTCTTCGGGGCTAAAGCGATGTTTTCAAGTCTGAACTCTGTTTGCAACAATACAAATCCCTTGATAGTCGTTTTTCTGCCTGGAATAAGGAAATTATTTCTCTCCAAAAACATTAAATAATACATACCACGTATTCGCCCTTTTGTAAGACTAGTGACGATATGTTCGACCTCATTTCACAACGAAATTGACTTAATTCCTCTCTTTCTAAGAATTCAATTTTGGTATCAATGGTTTTTGGACTTCCTCAATGCTGTTCGCTTAAATGTATTTTCTTGTCTTAAATGTCTTGGCTTTTCATGTCGTCAGCGAGCCGACCTCCTACGTCGTCGCAGACGGATAGCACCACCACCACGAGTGGCGGAGAATTCCAATGTCCTGAGCCTGATGGATTTTTCCCTGATCCTGAATCGTGTGATCATTACTACCAATGCTCTGGCGGACTCCCCTTTTACCAAGTGAGCTCGACTTGAATAAGGGAGTCAAATTTACTTTCTTCTGCATGGCATTTTCTTCTCTATCTTTCTGCGAATGCACAAGGCTCATATATTAAGTGTATACGCCCTTCTTCAGGAATGCGCCGAAGGTACTTGGTTTAACCCCGAAATCGACCAATGTGACCACCCTGGCGACTATTGCACGCCGCTGAAGCAACTTTTGAAGTGAATGATACCGTCGTTGCTCCTTCATGACTGATGTGGGTTATGCAATTGAAATGGATTAATAAAAAGCTCGTGATCCTTAAGTAAGGCTTTCTTATCCATATCACTCCTCTCATTGGGTATTCATTCCTCATCGCGATTACCATCAGCAGTGGACAAAACTTCATCTGCTGCTGGTTCTGGAGAGAGTTCAAGCTGATTCAATCTCCAGTGGGTCGATAAAAACCAGATAAAAACCGCCTCTGAGCTGCTAGGCCGTGGTTCACATTCCCCCAGCAGGCCTGGTCTGGAAGCTTGGCCGCTTTTGACAGCCATACTTTGTGATGTTCATTTCCTGTTCATAGTGTTGCCAACCCGCTCAGGACATAAAAAACAATCAGGGTAGTTTACGGGAAGGCCGACGCGCTTAATATACCATTTTTCGTAGCCTGATTCTTGCTAAATTCAGTAATTTTCAGCTTTTTCAGTGACTTTGAGGAGTTGTTCCCCAATCCATCCTTAACACTTAAACGTACCGCTCAGGGAGATCTCCGTTTTTGAGTCCTTTCGACTAGCCTATGACCAAAAAAGTCATAGCCTTGTAGGCAGCGAGCTTTAGGTCTAGATAATAGGCCTAGGCCAAAGCGGCGGATCGATGGGGTGAAATTTCCGGTACGCAATGTATTAATAGCCTTTAAAAGACCGATAAATCTCAGTCATGCTCGTTCGTTTCTCTTTCAAACCAATTGCTGGTCTCCCCCCACTTCTTGGGATTCAACTTTTGCAGCTCTCCCGAATGCCCCTTTTGCGCCTACACTCCTCAACTCACGACCTTCCACTCCTCAATTACTTTGGCTTCATTTAAAATTTTCTCACTGACTTGCTGCTACTCTGTCATTTATTTAATTACATTTAAGAAATGCGGAGATCCGTATGTCGGTGGGACGGGTAGACCGTTCAGTGATCGCGCCAAAGAACACATTCGCTACATCAAGTTGAAGTACAACCAACTTACCGGCTTACATTTTAACATCAACGATCGATCACCGCCTCGAACATCTTTTCATCCTACCTATGGAACGCGTGGAACTCCCCGACCCGCTTTATCGTAAGAGACGTGAAACATTTTGGATAGGCAAACTGAAATCCACCATCAACTCCACAATCTAGCCCGGTCACCTCTCTATCCCCTGGGCCCCGCTATCCTTTGGCCTCCCATTGAAACACCAAAAATCCCCACATTACATCGATAATTCAAAACTCTAATAGGGGGGATTATCTCTGAAGAACAGTGATGTTTTCGTAAATAAAATAAATGTCTCCTAAGTTGCTTAAAACCCTCCTCAGACTGCTGCAGCATTAATTCAAGGACAGGATTAATTTTCTCCAACACAAATGATGGTTGTGACCCTGGGGTTTATAAATGGATTTTAAAATATTGGTACTCGCACATTTAGAACTGCTAGTAGTTCTTGTAGACAGGTATGATTTGCCTTCGTAGAGAAAGTGCTTGTTGGTGTTAACATAATTTTTTTAAATGCATGGTGCAGAGATGCGAGGGGAAATTGACAAGAGTATGAATGCCATTGAGGTTTTTCAAAATTATATTTTATATTAGAGCCTCGATCTTGGAGATTCCTTATGACTGACGCGTGTCACTGGCAAAGCAGATTCCTATTATTCTAAACCTGGGCCTTTTCAGTATTGATGCGATTAGTTTCCTATGCTTATTGAACGACCCGATTGCTCATGGTCAGCACGTACGAAGCATGAACCATTGCGAAGACAAGACCGTACTTGATCCTCCCCCTAGCAGTATGTTCATGTAAACAAGATTTCAATTCTTTTCAAAAAATGTAAAATTTTTGCGATTGTCATGAAAATGACACCACATTTACTCGTACATAACTTAAGTTCCTGTATTTACGTCACCAAAGAGGATGTGTATTTCATATAAAATAGACATGACTTCACCTGATAAAGTGCATGATAAAAAGTTCATATGAAAACAACATCACACCATCCTTACGACATAGTCCATGGAAGTTATATGGAACTGAAGGAGTCCTTCCTAAGGCACATGTTCCCCGTTGCTGTTGCAAACTGCTGTTTCTAGTCATAGACGTGGATGCATGTGTTGACCCCCAATGCTTTCGCTCTACCAAGTCAGTCCTTCCACACCAAGTATGAATGAGAAGAAATACCATGCAAGAAATGACATTGGAATCAATCCCGCTGAACTGTCAGAATGGCCTGAGGAAATAGGGATGATATAAGATTCTTATTGATTGAGCATGGACCGTTGCAAAATGAGGATGCTGACTTCTCTCATCTTGAGAGAGATGGTCCAAAATTGACAAAAGGATGGTTGAAAAAAGATCTTCCAAATGGTGAATGCGTTCCAAGAATCTGGCGTCTGTACAAAATCTCAAAGAATGCTCGCCGTTGTTTCCCTTGCTTGATATTTACGCATAAGGCCCATTAGGAAACCAGTAGGTTTGCAAAACCCCATCAGTTTCTTCATGTGAGATAAGCTGAAGCTTATCAAGACATAGCATGGTCAGTTTTTTTTGCCCACCTGGTAATAGAAATTACTTTATTCAAGTCAAAAGATTAATTTGAATTACCAAATTCTTTGTTATACTACTTTAGAGTGTTGATAAATTATTTGTGCAGTTTTTCGATGTGACTCCCATTTTATTGAATACATATGGTCAAACGTGAACGCCACTCATCAATGCACGTGTCAATTACCGCTGTGACAAATTGTTCCAACCTTCCAAAATGCGTTCACGCAATTCACTCACATTTCTAATTCTTTCATCGGCAATATAACATTTTGACTTCAATGCCTCCCAAATACCAATGATATTTTGTTAGTAATTTTTCCTCTTCACTCTATGAGGGCATTTTGTAAGGCTTCTGAATCCAAGATTTTGAACACTAACATGAGCTGAAAATAAAAATAAAATGAAAATTATTATAATGAATGCTTATACGTGTAGCAAATTCCTATTAGTATCATATATATCAAGGCACATGATACTGAGAACATCAGCGTGGTCAGCTTTTTTTGCCCACCCGGTACATCCGATCCACGATGGGCCTAGAAAGGCTCTGCAGCAACCTTGCTCTGCTCTCCATTGGAAATAAAGTAGCAAAGGAGGTTGATTTTGACAATATCATCGACATCTTTGCGCCTCGCCAAGCAAGGAAGCAGTGCTGTAACCAACCCATGAGTGTGTCAATGGGGTAACTCAATAGCTCATAGTTATTCCGCATACTTGAATAATAAAAAATGCTGACTGGGCTTTGCCGTCTGGATTCACTTGTACTGAGGGGGTGCAAACATGCACGTGAATACGTAGGCACTAGTTCAAAGGATGGAGGAACTGACAGGCACAATAATGGAACAAACCAAACGGAGGGGATTGGAGGGGCGCATCCATGACTCCTTGCCCCAGGGCGCCAAATGGGGTAATTACGGTCCTGCTGTTAAGTCTAAGTATTTAGGGTTGATTGAGTTAGACCTTTACAAAGTTCCTTATTAATATTATCCTCTTTTCAAATGCACAGAATTACAGGAAGTTGGACTGCTTCTGTTTTTCTTCTTCATCTGTGCCCTCATTTCCATGGAAGCTTTTTCGGCCCAAACCTAATTTCTAAATCTAATTCTTATTAGAAAATCCGTGTTATATTAATCCTCCTGTTAATTATAGTTATTCTGATTCGAAGATCTATGACCTGACGGTTTGGGCCAGGGTCCTGATCGGCATTTCTCACCAACTCTCTCTTACCACTTTGTAATTGACAGATCCTTATTTGGTTTAAATCACTTGTGATGATGATCAGCCTCCCTTGAAGTTGAGTCAGTTTCTCCTTTTCTTTTGTACTAACAGTAACTACCCCAACATCCATCACACCTATATTTAATTCCAAGAAATCCAAATGTAAATCACGAGCATGATTGATGAGGGCAATAAACATACATCCAAACAATTTCCATGAATGTGAAAAAATGTTGTTGGGCACAATGTTGACTAATATTGGGGAAACTGGCATTTGTTTCTGTGCAGGGAATGGTAATCATTGTAAATCATGGTAAAGTAAAAGTAGCACTACTGAGCATGGTACTTCAAAATGTTGGAAAGAAAAAATAATTTATTGCAAAATAGGAAAGGCCAAGTATTTATATACCTGTCCACATCACATGTACCGCTGTCATAAAAAAAAATACTGAACCAAGAAGTATTAACAGATATTGTCTCTGCTTCATTGAGACTACTCATCGTAGCTTAGACACATATTCTAATGTCAGACATATTATCAGTTCTGAATTCTCTCCTTTGAGAATTTCTGCTAGGGGAAAAATGGAAAGAGTGTCACAATGGATGAAAATAGCAGCATTTTATTACCTTGGTAATTTTGAGCCATAAAGCAAAACGATTCAATTCATTCTTTTTTAGCATCCACGCATACAAGGTGGGCAAAAAAAAACGGATAGTTTTTTATATAGGCCACACCTCACTCACTGCATATGTTTTAATACGCATTGTGGCTTTTGAAATAATATATATTTTATGGCTTAGTCATTCTTAACATTTCAAACACCTTCAACAGTTTCAGAAATTCTAAAGCTCGTATGAACTATGAACAAAAACTGCATTGCCTACGATACAGGCGGCATGTGACCTTCACTCGCCACCTGTCTATCCCCACTGCTGCAAAAATAACTCAGTTTTTGCTTGTAGTTCATATGAACTAGAGATTTTTTTAACTGTTGATGTACTTACATGTCAAATATGACTAAGCTCTAAAATA